TCAAAAGCTCTTTTCGCCATAGATCTCGTTGTTTTTTTAATTATATCGATGTCTTGTTGAGAAATTGACTGCTGAAGGTCTTCCTCTTTTTTTCGTCGAGTATCGGTGTGTTGATTTGATGAGAATGAACCCCTAGACAAGCTCACATACTCCTCTTCCATCATAAACGCGATATACTGCTTAACATCTTCCTTCACTGATCTTTTCCCTCGAGCTTGTATACAACGGATTTGATCATGTTGAAGAACTAAATCGACCACAAATTTTGGTTCTTTCAATTTTTTCATATAATATTGACTCATAACTTTCTGTTGAAGAACAAACAGTTCAAACATGGTCTGACTACAACGATAAACAGGTTGAACTACACGAAACCATCGAAGAATATCTTCAGGAAGATTTGTTAATGAAATCAATGAGCTTTTGAGACATTTAATGATATTTTCAACTGTGTCTCTTTGGTTCTGAACGAAGTTGATATCCACATTCATATCGCGGCAGTCAATCACGCTCATATCTTCAGGCGAAGCACAATGACGAAAGTGAGCATTGTGGCTTTGATCAGTTTGAGAGGTACACCGTTTGCCATGTTTGCACAGAGGTCGTATATCAGGAACGTTTGTATGTGAGTATGTGTTTAAATGATCCTCTTGTTTCATTCTTTCACATTTATCACCGAACGAACAACTTTTTCGATCTATGTGAATGAAGTTTTTTATATGTCTCCCAGTTTGGTCTGTGCAGTTACTTCCATACCAACACACATGTGAAAATCGACTGAAATGCTGGTCGTCGTCGTTCTTTTTGTTTTCTTGAAAGCAATCGTTGTAGAATCGACAGTGAAATGGAGTGAATGGACATGGTGGAAGAAATGGATGGTAACATTCGTCAACATGTTGTTTGTCGTGAAACTTGTTGCATCTATTTCCCTGTGGACATCCCGGTTTACAATGACGATATTGATCACAATGAGTTCTGATGCTCTTTAGAAAATCTTTACATTTGTGTGCTTCTGGACAAAGTGGTAAATGACGATATGCTCGTAGATGAACTGCCTCCATATTGGTACAGTAACCTTCTTTCGAACAAAATGGTGGATGTTCGAATTCTTGGCAGTGCTTTTTGTTATCAATCAGAGTACATTCACCTCCATCTAGACATTTTCTAGGATGAATAAATGAGTACATATGAACTCTATCAGATGATTTTTCGCATCGATCTTTGCCAAATGCCATGGCACATAATGGTGGGTGAGAAAAACTACGTAAATGATCTGGATTACGATCATTACACATAGCTGCGAATTTACATGGTGTTGAATCAAATATACAAACATCACTCACAGTCGATCCATCCGAGAGGAGTCGATATGGGCCGATAATTGTATTTGGAACACCTGCTAGTTTGGTACGCTTAACTGATTTGCCATCCAACTTTTCAAATGGCTTAAAGTTGCCTTCTCGGTTTAATTGGCCACCCGTATTGTGATCGTCGATGATCGCGAACACAACTTCTTTGAAGAAGCCTGCATACTGTTCAATAACTGATAGGAACAGTTGTGCCACATGTTCAGGTGGATTTTTGAATGCACCACAACCAAAAGCAGACAGGACAAGTGAATCATGGCCTTGACGATGGGCGATCGAAAAAATAGTTTCAATCTTTTTTCGCATGCCCACAGCTGCTTCTGGTGCTAATCGATTGTCATCTAGTTCAGGAACTCGATAAGCAGCGATGGCAATGGCACAAACATCTGTCAATGGTTTCTTCATGTAAGCATAACCTCGGTCTTCTGAATGACGAAACACGGTGAGACCTGAAGTATAAATTGCACCGAATTCATCCATTGGATAGATGCGCTTTTCATCACCCACAGGCTCTTTTTCACAGTCAGATGTGCAGATAAAGCGTTCAGCTCGTTGATCATGATATGAGTCTAATTCGAGATCTAGGCTGCGAAAGTAATCGGATCGACGGAAGATGTTCTCTTCTTGTGCGCCATCACCTTTTTTATATCCACCTCCTGGAGTTGTTTGATTAGCCATGTTTAACAGTACGGGACGGTAACCATCTTGAACTAGCTGTTCATATACTACAAGACAGTCTTCTTCCTGTACCCGAATGTTTGTTTCTTTGTATTTAATCTTTTCGTATGGTATTTTTGAGCATTGTTCGAGTTTGGATTGATGATTGTAAATAATGGTGGTTAATTTATCATCCAGATTTAACTTCACTTTTCGATCACTGACTAGATAATGTTTCTTCTTCACGGCAGCAAAAGTATCGAGCATGACAGTCATTCGAAGTAGATGACGTGTTTGATCGGGTTTCGCAGACTTTTCGGAGCGTGAAGCACCGCGATCGCGGTCACCATGATACAGTGTAGATGCTGAATTTTGAAACTCTTCGAGCCATGCTTTTTCATTCCATCGGCACTTAAAAATGAAATGATCAGGATCGTCTAGGAATTGCATGATGTCCGGTTTGACTTCGGCCATTTTGGTTTTGTACCATGTTTGAGCATTGATTTCGCAATCATCCATTTCTTGCGATGCAACATTCTCGCTAATACGAAAATGTTGGCCATCAATCTCTAGTTTCTTTAATCGTAAGCATCTGTCAAATATATATTTATCTTCCACAGTTATAAGAAGTTTCTTGTCAGCATACTTATGATGTATCACTTTTCCATTAAACACTTGATGATTGATAATGCGATCAACGGCACTTTTCGAAACCGGTTCAATAAGTAAGCGATAGTTAAAACTCCTCCTCAATATTTTTCTACCATCAATATCAATACACGATTGTGTTATCCATTTACGAGCTTCGCCAGTAACAATAACACATGCCCTGGATGTGTGCTGATCTATTTGCGCGTAAATATTTGATGATGATATGCTTTTCTGTTGAATAGACTTTTTGATTGCTGACACTAGGCTTATTTCAGTGGTTGATATTGAAAGATCTTCCAAGAAACTACAATCGGCGAAAAGATATATTTGTGCTGATATATCATCGATAAAAGTTTTTTGTTGAGTATCACTTTTGGAGAGTTGATCTGAAAATTCATAAATAAGACGATAAATATTGGGAAATTGTGCATCTAGCACAGCACACGATAGTGGTTCCTCTACATTGAGATAAATGGCGCATTTTCGACTTATGTCTTCTGGTGTTGGCAATCGACTACTTGTACGTTGATTGCTCTTGTCCAACACAACGAACGAAACAACTTCTAGAGTATCGCTGAATGGAATCGTTATTTCATTATCTTCTATCGTTAATTTGATTTGTTGAACATGTTCAACAAGTTGCTGTTTTATCTCATTGCCTACGACATGAATTATACCAAAACCAAACTCGGGAAAACTTTGAACATCATGAGCGCCTTGAGAACTTGTATTCTTTGCGATGAGTTGACAAACAGTTTTCTCGAATTTCTTTCGGTCTCTGATGTTAAATGGTATATCTGGAATATACACTATGCACTCGTTTTCATCGTCTAAAGAAATATTTCTTTTAACTTCGTTTTCAAGAATTCAGATACAAGATTGTCATGTACATTCTTTTATAAATTACTCAATATACGATTAGTGATTACCTTGCAACTTTTTTTTCGAAGATTCTGCACCTTGATAATCGCCATCTGCGGCAGATGTAGTTCGTGATGTTGATGATGAATCCGAACCATTTTTGTTAGCACTTTGGCCAGCTTTCTTCTATAAGGAAAAGGCTTGTATCCTTTTTAATCAGCTACATAGTCATTAATAATTGATGGTGTCGAAGAATGAGATCCAGAGTTTTTCTTTCAAATCTCTAACTTCAACTTATCGGTTTCTCGACATGAAATCTCTCAGAAGAATTTATACGAAGTCACTATTTCGGACAATAACAACAGCTCTAGTCTTAAATCTTGATGACTCATTTGGAATATATAGATTTCTGTTTTATTCATACAATCTAAGTGGTACTCGATGCATGTTGACGAATTGGAAAGTTATTCAGCGTCATCTTCTGTGTAACTAGATCGAGTCTTTTCAAACGAATAATTCTCAATACTTCGGATCGGTGATGTAGATACCGGTCGTGTAGCATCTGTGTTGGCAGAAATCGTGCAGTATTAAAAACATGTCATTCATCGTCTCTCAGCTTCTCATAAAACTTCTGTTTACTATCCGTGCAAAATTTGGAAACTGGTAATAGTACTGAAATACTCGGATAAGGGCATGTCTGCCCAGAAGAAAATTCTTTGATAAAGATTTCACTGCAAAGAAGAAACAAAAGATATCTTAGTAACCACAATAAGTGTTTCTCTTTCTGTTCCGAAAAAGTTCATAATTGCTTTGGATCAAGTTACTTACGTCGTTATTTCTTTGCTTTTCATCATCGGGTCGAGTTCTACTTGCACTTGAATTTTTTGGGACCTCTGATACAGACGCGCCGACCGCATCCGATTTTCCTCCACCAGTTTTGCGACTACTTTCTTCTTTTTCCTTTGATTTCTGTCGAGAACATTGAGGTGTGTTATCAGGCAAATCATCTGCATATGATGAATCCGAGCATTTTGAGCGTTCATTCATCTTACTCACTAAACAATAAAGAATATTTATTGTAAGTTATTCCATAAACCGTTCCCAACTACAATATTGACACAGAGGAGAAGTATAACGCATTTAAAGTGAAACCATGTCTTGAATAGTAGAAAATGTGATGTGGGTGAGGATGAGGGTGTGAGTGTGATTCCGTTACGGAATTCAGTTCCAAGGTATATGATACTGTGGACAGAGACGATGATGGGATCGAACGAATTGATTTCACTATGGGCAGCATTAGGGAGTAGGATGTAATCTCTATTTTTCAAATACAAAAACGTCTACTATATGATAAAGACGATGATGTTTCAAATAATGCTCAGTTGAGTCTAAAACTTCACATAATATCTGGCTAATACATTCACTCCCTAGAGGAAGAGAACGATAATCGCAATTGTTCTTTTTAAAATGCTCTTGTGAGCCAGGTTAGTTTCAAACGATAAGAGATGATGGCATAAAATTGAATCAATCTGAGTGCGATACTGTATCTTACAATTTGCCCTCGATCGTACACTCCACTTACTGCAACAAAACTATATTTCGATCATTATTTTATTGAGTATCGTAAGCAAAACTAACTGAGAACATGTAACGACTTCGTTGTTTCACTGATAACTGAAGTCTATAAAACAGTAGTAATCTGAATCTTAAAGCATTTTTATCAACTCAAGAAACTCTCTTAATGGTCTTAACATAGATGCTGATTTACGAGGAAATACATAGAGAAAGCTTCGCAAAGAAAAATCCGATGCAGTATGATCTTGTCATTTAAAAACTTACTTTTGTTCGGTGAATTTGAAGAATAATATGTGGGTTACGAAGGGACGAGTAGTGGCTGCTCTGTTAAGTAGGAAGAATAGAAAAGAAATTTTTTCTGTTATTTTTTTCTCTCCCTCAAAACGTAAAATGTACTGTTTCAAGCGAGCAAATATCGGAGAAAGACTGAAAAATTTTCTTCCTACCCACAACATCCATCGTATCGTCATGCGTTCTTTTTCTCTCAAAATAAAATGAAGAACAATCTCTAGAGATCAAGTCGGAAGTTTTCTTTGTATAAAATACGCAAACTAGATTAATACAAGTAAAAATTCAGTCTATTTTGCACTTGAAAAAAAGAGTGTTGGTAGAGTTCGTTAACTTGGGTAAGATATTACGAATTCAAGTAGTCATTTCCTATCCATATAGTTTCCATTGATATTGTCTATGTAACGGTGCCCATACATTCCGTTTGTAGACAGTATGTCCTGCCTCCTTTTCATTTCGTCTTCCCACAGTTTCTTCCTATTCAGTTTTGTTCTTTTTCATTACAATATGAACAGATTTTAACATAGCAAAGTCGGAATGAAAATCTCAGCTTAATTACCATTCAGCTTGAGCTGACTGTGCGAGCAGACGTATGAATATATATTCGTCGAGTATACATACCTTCACCCCCACCCCCACCCACGACTACCCTCATGATGAAGTTTTGACCTGATCATTTCGTTTCAGATATAACTATGTCTTCATGTGCACCGAAACAATGTTCAATATGTAGAAGTCCATTAAACACTGGAGAACTCGATGAAATCACAACTTCATGTGGACATACATTTCATCGTAAATGTGCACAAAAGCGTTTAGATCGATATAATAAAACCGATTGTCAAGTCTGTCGTCGAGAACGTGCTCTTGGCGATGCTTTATCCAAGCAGAAAACCATGCCACCCAAACCTGTAAGTTCTTCACCTGCAATCGAGTACTTTCGTTTCGGTAGTGTCTCTATCTGAATATAGCATTATTATTGAGCTCAGCTCCAGAAAGATAAATTAAACTGCTACTATGCAAAATCGAAATCTTGCTGCCCAAGATCGACAGTCTCATTCCCCAGGCAGCATTTTTACTTGAAATCATACGGCGTTTTGCTCTGCACGTTCATTCATTCATTGATTTATATTTTCAGGGCCGAGGAAGGAAAAGCCCTGTTTCTTCCGCTCATGCTCATTCGCATCATGCAGATGATCGCGAGTCTTCTCATTCACCCACCACAAGTGGCAAAAACAGTAAGTTTCTCTCATCCTTTCCAATTATCTTTGTTATTCCATGGTCATATCTCAGAGGAGCATGATGAACCAACAGAGGATAATCATGATCGTCGATCGCACTCTCCTCCAAGGATACAAGGCAATGAAACCGTTTATGTTGTTAATTTACCACCGGACATCAAAGATGATTTCGATCTGACCAATGCAGTTCGGGCTCGTGTGGAGAATAGTCTTCAAATTTCGATCCGTGACATCAAATGTTATTGGAAACTCGGTGTTGGCGTTATTCGAGTTGCTGATAGACAAACAAAGAATCGTCTTGTTCAATCGATTCAAGAAATAACATTGAATGTGGCAGGAAAATCAAATACGATTGAATTTGTTGATACATTAGAATTGACTTCATTTGTTGTATTGGAAATGAACAAAGATTTGTCATATCCAAGTACAAAAGAGATTAATGTTCGTTGGAAAGATCTCTATGGAGGAGAAAGACCTCGATCATGTGAACAATTTGATCGTTATTTTCCAAATATTTATCGTTTAGTAACAACATCACTGGATGAAATACTACAAATCATGCATAATTCAGATTTCTCTGTGAAAAAACAAAATGGTCGAGTTTATTTCTGTGCTAATTGTAGTTTTCTTACAGATTTACCTACATCAACATTTGAAGATGAAATTCGGTCAAGTATTTGCACAGCTATTGAACAAAAGCACATTTCACGTTCATCACTCTACGTTCAATTGAACAAACGAGATGATATTGCTTGTATCATTGTGTCAGATATGGCACGNCAAAATGTCATAAAATCATCAGTATTGCATCCAATGTAAAATGTTTTCGAACCAGCTGCATATGCACCTTTGCTTACGCGTGTTTCATGTTCAGATGGAGAACCACTGTTATTGACGATGTGCCGCTCTATCTTGGAAATAAGATAAGATTGATGATATAAATTTGTACGAAGCTACAGGTGACCAAGCAAAATAGTTTCATTGTCTACTCTTCAGAGATGAAAGCTTTGTCATGGACTTCTCAGTTGTGATAGGCAACTATGAAACTCGAACAGATTCTTTCTTTTCAGATTGAAATATGTCTTCGTATGCACCAGATCAATGTTCAATATGTAGAACTTCATTAAATTCGAAAGAATTCGATGAAATAACAACTTCATGTGGACATACATTTCATCGTGAATGTGCACAAAAACGTTTAGAGCGATATAACAAAACAGATTGTCAAGTTTGTCGTCGAGAACGTGCTCTTGGAGATGCTTTATCCAGGCAAAAAATCACACCACCGGAAACTGTAAGTTACTCGCATCTCGTTGAGGGTGCGGTTGTTTTTCTAGACAAAATGTTTGTCGCACATCATTTCTACTTTAATTCATTCGTTTCCTTCACCCAAATGTGCATTTTAACATACTTTTAGAGGAGAAGAGAACAAAGTCCTGTTCCCTCCGCTCGCTCGGATGACCGTGACAACGACAACTGGTCCTGTAGAAAATGTCACAAGTTCAACGAGATCTCCTCAAAACGCTGTTATTCATGTGGTACGTATAAAGGTGATCGCGAGTCTTCTCATTCGCAGTCTACAGGTAGAAAAAACGGTAAGTTTCTTTCGAGGCGACGAGCTTCTTTTTTATTCCAGAATTATGTTTTAGAGGATCATAACAACCTGACAAGGGACAATCGTGATTTTCGTACATGTCTTCGGCCATCCTCCCCCCCAAGAACACAAAGCAAAGAAATTGTTTATGTTGTTAATTTACCATCAGACATCAAAGATGATTTCGATTTAACCAATTTGGTCCGAACTCGCATGGAAAATAGTCTCCAAATTCCTATTCGTGATATTAAATGTTATTGTAAACTTGGTATAGGTACTATTCAAGTGGCTGATAGACAAACAAAGAATCGTCTTGTCCAATCGATTCAAGAAATAACATTGAATGTGGGAGGAAAATCAAATACGATTAAATTTGTTGATACATTAGAATTGACTTCATTTGTTGTACTGGAAATGAATAAAGATTTGTCATATCCAAGTACAAAAGAGATTAATGTTCGTTGGAAGGATCTCTATGGAGGAGAAAGACCTCGGTCATGTGAACAATTTGATCGTTATTTTCCAAATATTTATCGTTTAGTAACAACATCACTGGATGAAATATTACAAATTATGCATAATTCAGATTTCTCTGTGAAAAAACAAAATGGTCGAGTTTATTTCTGTGCTAATTGTAGTTTTCTTACAGATTTACCTACATCAACATTTGAAGATGAAATTCGGTCAAGTATTTGTACAGCTATTGAACAAAAGCACATTTCACGTTCATCACTCTACGTTCAATTGAACAAACGAGATGATATTGCTTGTATCATTGTGTCAGATATGGCACGACGATGGATAACACATAGTTCTGTTTATATTGATGGTAAAAAGATATCGAAGAGAAACAATCTTACAGAAGATTTACACAAGTCATCTGATAAACATAGTAAAAAAGTGGATAATAATGAATTCGATGCGAGACGTTGGTATGAAAAAGAAATGAGTCGTTACAAACCAGATGTGAAACAATTTCTCTCTGATCTTCGTCATCCGATCTTTCATCATAAATGGGATCCATATCTATGGTTAGAAGAATTTCAACGTGTGAAATCTCACAATGATAAAGATGAACGTACTCGTCAATTATTACGTATGACAGTGATGTTGGATACAATTGGTACTCTTTGTCGAAGGAATTATGTGATACATAATCACGAAGTAATGTTGAAAAGAGATGATGAAATGAAATCGATCATTTATGATCATCAATCGAAATTGAGTTTCGGAGGAAAGATTCCAATAATCGATACAAAATATAAATCAACAGTTGTTGAAGTAGTGAAAAGTGATGGTGTTGAAGTATATGAACGATTAGTTAAAAGTGGTCGACATCCATTACTTTTACAAATGACACATTGGAAACATCCAGGTAGTGAATATGAAAGAAATGATGGTCGAGAAGAAGAAAATCTTTTTCGACAATCTGATTATTTCTTCATTCTCAATGATGATCTCGATCATCAACAATCCCATCGAATAACTCGTTATCAATGTTCATCAAAATGTGAACTTGAAAAACTGTCGGACAAAGATGAAATTCGACGAATTAGTGATTTTGGTGCGATTTACACATCAGGTGTGAATATATTTCGTCGTGGAGAAGAAACTGGTTATGCATATTTGGAGAAACCTCTGGAAAATGTTTGTGTATTGACAATGATTGGATATGAAAATCCATCATTGGAAAAGAAAATGTTATCACCCAAATATGCAATAGCAACACGAAAGAAAATGGAAAATCTCTTTTCTCTTGCTTATCATCATAAACACGATTCAATTGTTTTATCAACATTTGCTTGTGAAGTCAATAATAATCCTGTTGATCATATTGTTCAACTCTTTAGTTCAGTCATTGAACAATATGCTGGTTTCTTCAAATCAAT